ACCTGTTCACAGGTGCCAGAAGTTGGTTGACTCCATGCAACACAGATGTACAGCAGTTCTCAGAAACAGTGCTTATACAACTAAATATTCATTAAGTGATTCGAAGGAAAGCAAAATCTTCAAACATTTTTCAGCTTATATAGTGAATGTTTGAGTTTGTAAAGAAGAATACAAACACTGCTATTTTTTTTTGAACAGTCTAATATTCACTTTTCTTCACTTTGTTTAGAGGAACAACACAAATATGATATTTTTCTTCATGTTTTGATTTGGAATAGAATGTGTCGTGTTCCCAATGCATTTGTGTGTATGGAAATAAAAGCTATTAGAAGGATTTTGAGCTTTATTCACTTTTTTCAACACACTGCTATTATTTTGAACACAACTGTATATGTAAAGCACTGCGTAAATTGACAGCGCTATATAAGTACCTGAAATAAACATATAAATAAATAAATATTACTTACCATCAATCATGATTGGCTACCATGCACAGTTGGACCAGATTTTGCACTCTCCAGTGTTAGTAAATCAACCTCAAAAGCTTAAAGGCTAACTACACTTTTGTGGGAAAAAATATAGCAAATAAGATAAAAATGTAACATAGTGTATACAACTGCAACACAAGTCATATTGTAATTGAATGTTAGTAAAAATGACCTTTCATTTTCAATCCATAAGAGCAATATGGCTACTTATACAGACAGTGTACAGAAATTTAATTTCCTGCTTGTGTGATTGTCTCACTGATTTTCTCAGAAGTCTGAACTAAGATACAAGTCAGATTTTGGGCATCCCCTGCAACAAAAATGTGATTTTTGGTAAGACTCCCAAAGAGAAATCAGGTCTAAAGGGATGCATACCCAGCCACTTTCCTCCTCATTAGAGCCCTGCAGGTGCAGCAGCAGATTGATGATTATAAAACCACTCCCATCCAGGGTCATTCTGCACATGGACACAGACAAACAGCTATTGTTTTCAGAATAACAAAAGGTAGGACTCTGCAACAAAAATGTACAGTATATAGATAACCCAGAGGGGAAAGTTGTTTTTCTCAACAAAAGTGGAGTTACTCTTTAACATGTAAAATGTCAGATAGGGCCAGGTCTTTTGGTGCTCAGAATCCCATTGCCCAATTATCTAATTTAGACTTGGCAGCCCTTGAGGGCCTTAACAAGACACATACATCATCAGCAGCTCTTGCTTTCTAGTGATGCCAAAAAGCACAAATCTGTGCCAGAGAATGATAGTCTTGTAAACTGCTGTTAGAAATTACCATTCTCTCCAAACGTAAGGTTGCCCATCACTTTTGTGACTAGCGCCAGATCTTCTTTTCTCAGTGAAAAGAACATTGTTCTACTTTGAGCGAGAGACTCTCATCATGTTATGTTTCCTTCTCTAAGACCTGTTCTGCCATTGTGTTATTTACTCGTTATCTGACATCCTTTGAAAAGCTTTTCTTTATAGAATAGTCTGCAGTAAGCCTACTGCCAGTAAAGGCAGCCTGTGTCTGTCTGCTGCTTTGGGCTGCCAATCAAAACAAGTTGCATGAGTGGCATAGTCTCTGTCCACCTGTGACCCCCATTGCAGACCTAGCATAACGGGCTGACTTATGTCCACCAGCAGTGAGTGGTAATTTTCAGCAGCTTTATAGCATACTGAATGAAAGCAGCCCCTTGATTGTTATAAAGTTTTCACAGAAAATAGAAATTGGCTATGAGAAAATAAATAACTCCCATCACACATCTGGGAGAATGGCACTAGAGATAAACGTAAGTCTGAAATAAACGAAGCCCCACACAAGGGATAGCTTGCCAATAAAAGGAAGGATCCAGGATGTGATGGATGTGAGATGGATGCCTTAAGAGAGCTGCCAGGAACTCATTATGTTTGGAAATGATGTCATTTACATATAAATGGTGCTAGTATCCATCTCTGCGCTATGAAGAGTTCTGGTTGACAAAGTTGCCTGTTTGATGAGTGTTTCATATTTTAAAGGATAACTTCCTGTGTTATGTCATATGTGTTTTCTATTTCTGGTTTCTGTTTCTGAAATATAACTAACAATAGGATCAGTTTAAAAAGTTTTAACACAAGGGTCTTTATTTTTTAGCACTGTGTGTCATTTCCAGATATACCTGGAATCATCTGAAAATAACTGTGACCTCTTTGGAAATAGAGAATTCATATCCTGCTGCATCCTTAGCCTTGTTAATCGATCCTTATGTGTCTTTATTCCTAAAGCAGTTCATCAAACGTTAATGTGAATGGGGTTTGAGCAGCTTTGTATGGTGGAAAAATGGGGACAAAAACTCCAGTGAGCAGAGTTTGCATCTTTATTGACCATATACTGTATATAATTTCTATTGCAGTTTAAATAGCAAAGTCTTTTAAATGCTTGTGTTACTCAAAATGTATTTTAGCTAGATTTGGTAGCTGCTAGAAAGTAAAATCACCAAAGAGTTTTAAAAATACGTTGGGGACTTTGGTGATGAGAGTTGTATGCTTGAGCTAACCGGCCTGCACATCAACAATTCCACAGGGTCTAACTCTTTAGGCTGGATATTTAATATTTTGTGGAATGCAACAAGGGGGTGTAAGCAGCCAAAACCCTAACATGGGCAAAAATGGGGCTAGGTACTATGTTCAGAAGATTAAGAGGTTGTCAGCACTGAGGTCAAAAATAAAAAAGGGCTTGTGCTTGAACACCAGCCTTTTGAAAACAACCTACCCCTCCCACAATAAAGCAGTGGTTTGATAGAATAAACATCATACTTATGGAGGACCTCACCAGCACACTGAAAGGTACTGCCGAGAAATTCCACAATACTTGAGTACAAGGGTACAGATGATTATAGATCCCTTATGTCACGGGTGTCAAACTGGTGGCCCTCCAGCTGTTGCCAAACTACAAGTCCCATGAGGCATTGCAAGATTGACAGTTAAAAAAAAAATAATAATTTGCGCGCTAGTAAAAAATATTATATATAAATACACATATACATGAATAAATGTCCCAAAACAAATGAATATAAAAATAAAGTCCAAATAAAGTGAAAAAAATATATTGAAAAAACGTGACAATCCACCACCAAATATACTAAAGTAACTCACCAGAGCTAAATGCTGATAATATTATAAACCAGCATAAAGCGCTATTGCTCTGGAAGCGATGGTCAGCAGTCTGATGAAGCGATAATTGGCTTTAAAATCTTGATCTCCAGGGAGCAATACTCTGCAACACCCACTACTTGGCTAGCAAATCGGTATCCAGGGAGCAATACTCTGCAGTCAAATGTGTCACTAGGAAAATCCACGTCTTATAGACACCTCCATAGGGTATTAGACCATGTACTCAGGGAAAAAACAACAGCTCATAGTGCAGTACCTTTTAAAAAAGATTTGTTTAATATGCACACATCGCACTTCCAAGAAACGGTGTCCTAGCTGACACCAGCATCAACAGCATGTCAAACACAATAGAGGAACCCAGCTGCTCAGCACATGCGCCATGAACCTCTGGGAAAGGTAATGACGTCACATCAATCAAGCCCCTCCCTATGCGTTAAAAGAGTAATTGGCTATTGGGCCATTTAGATATAGATTTTTTTCTGTGGCGCCATTTATATTTATTTATTAAGATTGACAGTTACAAGCATGACTCTGAAAGGCAGAGGCATGATGGGACTTGTAGTTTCGCAACAGCTGGAGGGCCGCCAGTTTAACACCCCTGCCTTTATGTGCATAGATTGATCCTACTTCATACCTCTCTCACTCTCCCCTTTTATAGCCTTCCTAATATATCCCTCCCCCCTTTTTGTTCTTTCTCTCCATATTCCAAGGCTGGATTCCCAGAGAAAGCTCTTATCACCCCCTTCTTTTTGACTCCCTTGCCTACGTTCCTATATCATATCTTACTAGTATTCCCTTCCTACCCCAAGACATTACCCTTGAGGATTTCACTTTCCGCAGCTTTCAGACCACCCCCATATCATTATTTACCTCCCCATTACTGATAATGCTACATTTTCATGGAATTTACCATATATTTTTACAAAACCTTTTATTACTGTTACATATGTGGACCTTCTTTCTTGGTGATAAATAAATTGTAAAAAAAAAAAAAAAAAAAAGACAAAGAAGCTAACTTGCCCATTAGCCCACTAATGGCAGCATTTGGAGCCCATTCACACCTATTTGAGTGACTTGTGCTAATGCGCATATTAAGTCAATGCATGCATAGTACAAGTGTTAGTGATTAGTGGTGCTGTGCATTACCATCCCAGTTGGTGACCCCATTTACTAACACAAAGCACCTTAGATGCAGCTTTGCATTGTAGCCAATTAACTTCTAACTTAGGCTACGTTCACACTAGCGTTGTGTGCAGGCGGCAGAGAGGCGTTTGGGAAGCGTTTTTTACCGCTTCCCAAATGCCTCTGCCAATTCTGTACATTACAGCACATGGTGCTGTTCTAACGGGAGCGTTTGCGTTCGCGTCGCGTTGTGTTGCGGAAAAATGGACGCCTCTGGTCGAGTCAGGAGGTGTTGAAGCCTCCTATTCTCATCTATGGTGCCGCTCCGAAAATGCCCGGCCGGCGTTTGCGGTGCGGTTGCGGGGCATTTGCGGAGTGGTAACACCACTCAAACTGTATTATAGGCGTTTGTGGGGTGTTATTAACGCTCTTGGCAAATGCCTAGCAACCGCTGCTAAACCGCGCATGCAGCGTTTGCGGAGCGTTTGCCAAGCGTTAAAAACGCTCCACAAACGCCGGACCAACGCTTGCCAAACGCTATAGGGGCGTTTGGCAAGCGTTGGTAAAACAGCCAAGTGTGAACGAGCCCTTAAGCTTGCTCAATTAAACTTGGACAAAAAAAAAACATAGAAGCTGGTTTGTTTGCAGAACTGCACCATATTTTGCACTCTGCAGTGTTAGTAAATCAACATCAATGTGTGTGCAATAATGTACTGCAGCAGGCTGCCTAGGTGTGATTAGACCCGTAGCCTCCCTGGTGGTATTCCCGAGTGTAGCTCGGGGTAAAGTTTCAGTACCACAAGTGGTAACCCCGAGCTACACTCGGGCTTACCATGCGGCGCTGCTCCGGGATCTGTTCTTCTCTTACCTTGTCCTTGCGTCCTGCGCTCCCGCGATGTCCCTTCTGCAGTGTCCCCTGTAATGTCCTCCGGCGGATGCCGGCATCTGTCTTCTGGGTTCCGTTCCCTGCGACGTTGGGACGTACAGGGGACGGAACTGGCGGGAAATTTGAAAATGACAAAAAGTGACATTCACTAAAATCACATAGTAAAACATTACTGTATCAAACCGATTTCACATACATTTTGTCCCTAGTGCTTTGTCCTGTGCCCTGCCTGCATTTTACTGTTCTTTCTGCCTGGAAACTGAGAAGCGTCCATGGCGTCCAAAAAGCGTCCCTTTAGGTCAAAAAGTGGTTTTAGACCAGCTAGAGAACAGCGATAGTAAATCAGAACTACTTGCTGAATTGAGTGATAATGATTCATGTGGGGAAATTTGTCATCAGACACTGAAAACGATTTTGCGATTTTGCTCAATGATGTGCGAACTTGGCGCTATATTTCACATTTCAGTGCTTTTGGCTTGATTATATTATTGAATTAAATTTATTATTACTATATTATTATTTTTATGATTATTTAATTATAATTTATGATTTTGTGTTTCAAATTTTAACATACCCGGGATTTTTACTAGACTCTTGTTTGGACAGATTTCAGTGAGTTATTCCTAAAAATGACAGGCCGACAATAAAAAAAAATGCATATTTCCATGCAAACAAAATGTACCGCTTTGAGCACAGAAATATGTACATAATCAGACCGCTAGGGAGGTTAAAGCTGAACTCCAGGTAGATGTAAAAAAAAAAGCATTCATTTTTTTCTATTTATTTTTATTTAATGCAACTAGTGTAAGAACCTAAATCTGTCCTGAAAATCCCATTATTGCATCACTAATGCAGGCCATACACAGTTCGAATTCCGAACGATTTTACATCTGAAAATGGAAAACATTGTTCGCTCGGTAATCCAATGGTGCCATCAATGATTTTGAAAATTGGCCGACCAAGTCATAAAGTTCACCCCATATAACAGGTGAAACGTCTGTCCCTTCCAGGTCCTGGCTCATGCGTATATTCTTTTTGAAAAAACGATCGTACAATTTGAGCATCGAGTTTAAAATCGGTCGTTTTTCACAAAATTTCCAACATGCCGAACACCGAAAAGGGGGGGAACCATGAAAATCGGCCGGTGCCATTGACCCACTGACAGAGCGAAAATCAGCCGATTATTCTTAGGTCTGATTTTTGGACGACAAATCGGTCGACCCATGTATGGCCGGCCTTAGACTGGTAGACAGGGAGGCAACCAAGCTGTATTGCTTAAAGAAAAGTCAGGTCACCAACCTGGCTGTCCTGCAATGCTGTTTAAATCTCAGGACTGGCTGGAGGGAATTAGAAATCCTTTGGCAAAGCAATGGAGCTCCCATGTAATTCAGCTATGTATTTGTCTGTTAGCTTTGAGTTCATCTTTAAATAGAATATCAGTTTTGGATGGATAGGTGTACTAAAAAAATGTGTATGGAGAAAAAAAGTCCTCCACACCATTTTTTCAGGCACATGTTAGAAACAGACAACCTGTCTTACCTTGTCCTGCTCTGCATGTTATGCCTGCGTAACTCCTGTACGTTTTCTGTGTAAGCTGTGCTATTAGACACAAAATGTGTCAGTGTGTTGTTTTTCTAACAACTGATGCTTATATTTTTACGTTAATCTGCACTTCTTATTTTTAACGTAACTGGAAAAATGTAGACAATGCAGTACAGGTACAAAAAGAAAAACACTGGCTCTTTAATATGTACTTCCACTTTTAAATATAGGTCTCTGTTTTAAACCTATTAAGTGGCCAGCTTGTGTGTTTCCCAGTAGGTAACATTTATTCCTGTTTTGACCTATAGATAAATACATCATTCATTTAATACCTGTAATCTAGTACTTTTCTGAATGCTTACCATGTAACTCAGCTCAAATGCACAGATACTATTATTGTCAATTTTGTTTTAAAATCTGTTTTATCCCATCAGTTCCAGCCCACAAAAATAGAAGTACCTGCAAGACAAATAGGGAAAATACGCATACTGTATGCCTGAAAAAAAAAATAAAAATTTATTTGCACATTGGACAATACAAAACCTCAGCTGGTTGCATTGAAATATTTTTAATGTGTTTGTTTTTATTTCTTTTTTTTTTTCTTTGAAGTCATTTTCAAATGTGCATTTAGTGCAGCAGAGAGGAAGCATTGTTATTTCAAGTATGTAAAAAAAAGTAGCAGAATGTAACCTTTTGTGTCCCCGTGAATGCCTAGAACAGTGTGCCGCTGTGATAAACAACAAAAATGGGCGACAATCCGAAACTTTTAATAGCGAACACTTTCCATTTAGACGGGGGAAAATGTTCTCTTTCTAAGCTGTCATTCAGTACCTAAAACCTTAACCAAATGCTTTTAAATGCTCATATCAGACTGAGAAGATAAGTATTTCATCTGCTGTAATTGGCATCTCTCTGTAAATGTTTTTGGCTTGTGATTGTGCTGTAGCAGGTTGCAAATAACGTAGAGGGCTCAAGGCTTTGTGGCATGTCATTTAAAGATTTGGGGTAATCAAAGCGACTGGACAGCCATATCTCAATTTAGCTTCTCAACCCTTGAGCACAGCAAGACTTAATCCTTCCACGTGTTTGGGAACACAGTTTCTTGCTGTGAGATACATTTTTATTTTTGTTTGTAAAAGGCTGCTGGGCTCAGACTTTTTCATAGCTGTTTATAGAGCGGCAGTGTACAAAAGCAGGTTTCCATTCAAAAGTAACTTTGTTTTGTCCACGTTTGTTCATTCATTCCTTTATTGTTTTATTTTTGTTCTAAGGTTTTGTTTTTTAATGTACTATTTTTATTCACCTTAAAGTGAACCTGTGGCCAGACTATGGACATTTATATATTCTAAACATGCAGTAAACATACAGTACTTTAAAACAAGGTTCTCACTGACTACTGTATCTGCAGGTACTGTGCCAATTCATCCTCAAGGATTACATCAGAAACACTGATGTTCTCTCAGCAGCTTAGCTCATCCCCCCCCCCCCCCCCCCTTTCCAGCATGGACCCAGTAACCTTCCATCCTCTAAATATCTTTTATAAACACATAACAGGTCACTTGGATGGGCTGCAGGGTGGGCTGAATTACTTAGTGCTGAGAGAACTTCAGTGCTTCTAATAAGAACCTTGGGGATGAAGTGCTCTAGCATGGCCGCAGCTATAGAGGTCAGCAAAGGCTTGTTTAAAGCCCATTTACTGAGAGAAAAAGTTATATATGAAATGAGTTTAGAGTTGTGGTTTAGAGCTACTCTGATAAAAAAAACACTCAAACATTTGAAGATTGCTGTTCATAAGAAGCATCATCTGATGTGAACAGAGTCTTTCAAAAAGAAGCTTTTTGAAGATACACAATCAGAGTAGTTAATCCACATAAGACTGGGAAGGGATACAATGCAATTTAAAAGTGTTTAGGCTTTCATCAGTTACCAGTTAGACAAATGGTCTATAAATGGAGACAGCTTAGTACTGTGGCTACTCTTCCTACAAGTGCGCCCATCCAAGATGACTTCAAGGCACAACACAAAATCCTCAATGAGGTCAAAAAGAACCTACTAGTAATAGCCAAAGGCTTGAAGACCACTGGAACTGGTAAACACCCCTGTTCATGAGTCTATCATGCATAAGTCTTTAAACAGGCAGGGTGTTCATGGCAAAACACCATGTAGGAAGCCACTGCTTTCCCCCAAAAAAAACATTGCTGTGTGTCTGAAGTTTGTCAGTTGCTACTGGAAAAATGTTTTGTGGAGTGATGAACCAAAAGTTGAATTGTTTGGGAAGAATATTCATTATTATGTATGGTGTAAAAAGGGCACAGCTTTCCAACATCAAAACATCATCCCAGTGGTGAAGTATGGTGGAGGGAACATCATGATTTGGGATTGTTTCGCTGCCTCAGGACCTGGACACTTGCTGTCATTGAGGGCAAAGTTAATTCCCAAGTTTACCATTCTAATGTTAGAGTGGCTGTCTGCCAGCTAAAGCTTATTAGATGTTGGTTGATGCCGTAGGACAGTGATCCTAAGCATCAAATTAAATCCACCACAGATTGGCTTCACCAAAAGAAAGTGCATCTTTTGGAGTGGCCCAGTCAGAACCCAGACCTTTACCCCTTAGAGATAGGACTGATGTTTTAGTGGCTTGTGCAAGATAGGTACCCTTAAACATACTGTATATGGTTGGATTTTCTGAAAAACAACTCTTCTGGATTAATGTTTATCAACTAATATACACAGTATTAGGCTGGAGCATATGCAAAAATACATATGAGGTCCTCTCCAACTTATGTGGTGAAAATACCAAATTTAATTGCTCATTTTTATCTTTACAGCAGCAGCTAAGTAGACTCAGGCTAAAATTTAGTGATCCACATAGGCAACCATAGCCAATTCAAGAACAAAGAAGCTTGGTATTTTTTTTTTCAAAATAGATTTTGATTGCTCTGTATTAGTTATATCACACCAAATTTCTGAATATCTCCTGTATATTCAGGGATTTAGGTGGATTTCCAATACTCGGGATCCTCTTTTCCCCTTCCCACTTATACCCCATCCTACCCCTGACCTGCTGCCCTGTTCTAAAGCTCTTCTTTGTTTTTACATCTTTTCATGTCTTATGGCTTATTGTCTTCAAAACATTGACTTTACAGTTGGGTCAGCCCAGTACCTCATTATTGTATCATGTATGAGTGATCTGACCACTGTGGTCATAATGTGACTTTGGGTAGTGTTTCTGGCCTGTAACTGTACCCTTGACTAATGCCATAATGCCAGGTCTAGTGTAATTCTTTTTTATTATAAAACCAATAAGTAAACAATTGCTTTCACATATGTATGTATAAAATAAGCAGAAATGCCAGACTGGAAGTCGTACATCGATGTGTCTCTCCGGCCAGAAATAATGCCACCAACAGCTGTCACCTGATGTGTTTTGCCCCTCCTCCAGGGCGTTCTCAAAGGCTATGCTGTAGATGATGAATAACTATGTATACTCTCTATTCCTCCTTTCATTTTCACTCTCCTTCCCGTGACCTACTTGTAGCCATATGGAGGCTGTGCAAACTTCTATTTTCTGAAGCCAGCTACACCTATGAAAAACCACAGAAGGAAGTGGATATGACATACTAAGAGACAGGAAGTAGATCACAGGAAGGAGCATG